TAGCTGAAACTATACGCATGTGCCACCATACCTGGCTATTTTTAAAAATATTTTGTAGAGATAGGTTGTTATGTTGCCCAGGCTGGTCTTGAACTCCTAGGCTCAAGCAGTCCTCCAGTCTCAGCCTCTATGTAGCTGAAACTACATGCACATGCCACCACACCTGGCTAATTTTTTTTTTTTTAAGACGGGGTCTCACTCCGTCGCCCAGACTAGAAAGCAGTGGCACAATCTTGGCTCACTGGAATCTTCGCCTCCCAGGTTCAAGCGTTTCTCCTGCCTCAGCCTCCCAAGTAGCTGGGATTACAGGTGCATGCCACCATACCCAGCTGATTTTTTTATTTTTTAGTAGAGATGGGGTTTCTCCACGTTGGCCAGGCTGGTTTTGAACTCCTGACCTCAGGTGATCCACCCGCCTCAGCCTCCCAAAGTGCTGGGATTACAGGTATGAGCCACTGTACCCGGACTAATATTTTTTATTTTTGTAGAGACAGGTCATTATGTTGCCCAGGCTGGTCTGGAACTCCTGGGCTCAAGCAATCCTCCCACCTCAGCCTCCCAAAGTGCTGGGATTACAGGTAGGAACCACCACGTCCAGCCAACACTCATATTTGCACATGGAGTCGTGGCCACACACGGTTTACAGGACTTAACCTGTTATAAACACCAGCACTGCCTTCTTAGACAGGTTATGAAATGTGGCCACAAGTACCCCAGAGAGGCAGCAGACGCATCTTCTGTTGGGATCCCGGGGGACTGGGCACTGGCCAAGCCCTAGGCAGGTCAGGCAGAGGACTGGAGGGTCTGACAGAGGGTGAGCTGCCTGGTGCCTGACTCTCTGGGCTAGAAGGGGGTTACCCCCAGTGATCCTGACCCATGGAGTCAGCTGGGAGATGCGAGGTGTCCTGCAGGGCCAGGATTCCCGCCCACCACCCCCGCTGCTGGCCAGTGCGTTTGTCATGCTGCCCGTCAGAGGGCGCAGGTTTGGCAGATGCACTCTGAGGGCATCCAGGTGGCATGTGAAAGCTGTGGAATTTTACAGCCACTTTTACTCCAGTGGAACATCACTCTAGGCGTGAGGCTTAGATTGCAGAAAGCAATTTAATTTTGAGGTTTTAAGCCCTCAAGAGACGTTTAGATGTAGACGAGCTTGCTGCGAGACGCAAGACGCAACAGAAATGCATCTGGAAGATGGCAGGGAACGTTTGTGGCCAGGAGTAAAAGCCCTTCTAGAAACCTCAGCCCCACACGGCCTTGAGGAGGGAAGCTTAAGCCCCTCACCTTCCTCCCCCGCCCCCACACACACACAATGAAGCCACTAAAAAACAACTGTCTGGCCGGGTGCGGTGGCTCATACCTGTAATCCCAGCACTTTGGGAGACCAAGGCGGGTGGATCACCTGAGGTCAGGAGTTCAAGACCAGCCTGACTAACATGGTGAAACCCCATCTCTACTAAAAATACAAAAATTAGCCGGGCATGGGGGTGCACACCTGTAATCCCAGCTACTTGGGAGGCTGAGACAGGAGAATCGCTTGAACCCAGGAGGCAGAGGCTGCAGTAAGCCAAGATGGCACCATTGCACTCCAGGCTGGGCAACAGAACGGGACTCCATCTCAAAAAAATAAAAATAAATTTTAAAAAGTAGGCCAGGCGCGGTGGCTCACGGCTGTAGTCTCGGAACTTTGGGAGGCCAAGGCGGGTGGATCACAAGGTCAGGAGATCAAGACCAGCCATGGCCAATATGGTGAAACCCCATCCCTACTAAAAATACAAAATTAGCCAGGGGTGGTGGCGGGCGCCTGTAGTCCCAGCTACTCAGGAGGTTGAGGCAGGAGAATGGCGTGAACCAGGGAGGTGGAGGTTGCAGTGAGCAAGACTGCGCCACTGCACTCCAGCCTGGGTGACAGAGCAAGACTCCGTCTCAAGAAAAAAAATTAATTAAATAAAAAAGTAAAAAAAACCCACCAACTGTCCGGTCCCAGTCCTGTGGGGAGCTCAGCCCTGCATCCACACCAAGGGCGTGAGTTCTGCGGTAAACGATGGGGACTAAGGCTGAAAGAGTGGCCTCTGGTCAGTGTTTCTCAGCATTGTTTGTAGCCCACCAGCCTCACAGCTGCTGGGGAGGCATCTTCAAAGCGCAAATTCCTGGGGCCAACCTTCCAGGGCAGACTCTGCAGGTCTGTGGTGGTGGCCTCAGGGGAACAGCATTTTAAACAAGCTCCCAGGTGACTCTGAAGGCCCCCAAAAGCCTGGGAACCTGAGAAAAAGGAGCAATGGAGAGTGAAGCAGAAAGAGCCCCGGCTGCCAAGTCATACCAACCTGGGTTCAAGTACTGGCTTTGCCACATGTACATTGTATAACTTTGGGCCAGAGACCTCATCCCTCTGGGCCTTGGTCTGTAAAATGGTAAAGCAACCTCACACACAAGGCTGTGGCAAAGGTAAGATGGGCAAATTCGTGCAGCATCCCAGCATGCGGCTTAGCACTGAGACACGGTGCTGAGGATGACCACGGACTGTGAAGGTGCTACTGCAGGAAGGAGGAGAAGCCGGAGATGCTGAGCACCATCTGTGGAGTGGCCAGCTCCACGGCTCTCTCCCAAGCAGTGTATGGGAAAGAAAAGAGACTCCTGGGGAAGAATGGAGGAAGTGACATGGGGGAGGGACAGTGACAGGACAGTGAGCCTGAAAAACACAGGTGAGATGTCAGGAGCTCCAGCACAGACCTCACTCCCAGCGCAATCCTGCCAGACGCTCTCGCAGCCCCACAAAATGAGGCTGCCACGCCCGTACACTCTCCTTGCCCAAACCCTTCCTGAGGTCAGCTATACCCCAAAAGAGAGCATCTTTGGACCCAGGTAGCAGGGCGGGCCCTCCTCCTGCTCCTCACCTGCCCACTCTCAGAACTAAAACTTGAAAGGAGCACGCCAAAAGGACCACAACCAACCCTTCCTCCAGAGACAGCAAGGGTAAACTGAGTCAGGGTCTGCCTGTTCCTTCCTGTCCCCGGGAAGGGCCGGGCTCAGGAGAACAATGGCTCAGACTCAATTTGTCTCAGCTTGATTCGTGTGCGTCCCCTGAACCCAGGCGGTGGGTGGAGGCCAAAACCCCTCAGGCCGGCCCATGCGGTTCACTCCACACCATCCTTGGCAAGGAGGAGGAATTATGATCTGACAAGCAGGACATGCTGCTTCCTGCTCAGCGCTGCCCAGCATGAAAGACTACAGTTCAGGCCTCCCCTCTCTCCAGGGGACAGAGTTCCTCAAAACCAACAGGAAACTCCTACAGGGCAGAGCCAGGAGTTGGCTGACCTTGTCCCATAAACAGGAGAGTGGACACAATCACACACCAGGCACTTCCCACCTCCCTCTGCTGCTGTAAATGCCCAAACAGCTCAAAACTCCCAGCATGTGAGGGGGAGGGGCCGGGGGGGTCTCGAGGGTGTGCATTCTGCCAGGACCACACACAACTCTATCTACCTCTTGCATGGGAAAGAGGTCCCGGGGATATCATTAAATGAAACAAAAGCAAGCTGTGAATCAGCAACTCAAACATGACTAGATTTATATAAAAATAAGCAAATGGTAATAACAGATGTGGAAGAGTATACCCCTTCCCATTCACACCTCTGAAGATGGGAATCAGCGGAGCCTCATTTCCTAGATGACATTAAAGATCCAAACAGGCCTGGCATGGTGGCTCACACCCGTAATCCCAGCACTTTGGGAGGCCGAGGTAGGAGGATCTCTTGAACCCAGGAGTTCGAGACCAGCCTGGGCAATGTAGAGAGGCTCTATCTCCACAATAAATAAATAAAATTAGCTGGGCACGGTGGTGCACACCTGTAGTCCCAGCTACTTAGGAGGCTGAGGCAGAAGGATCACCGGAGCCTTGGAGATCGAGGCTGAATCATGATGGTGCCACTGCACTCCAGCCTGGGCAACAGAGTGAGATCCTGTCCCCCAAAAATAGCCAAACAGTATAAAAACATACAATGAATATGCAACTATGTCGGTAATTACGAAAAAAAAAAAATTACTATTTCTTTTAAAATCCAGGCTGGGAGACTCAGGCCTTCCTTCACACAAAAAACTGAGGTGAGACGTAAAGGCAGGGAGGCCTCAGGGCAGAGAACAAAGGACCCTGGCCCAGGATTCCAAGGTCTGGATTCAAGCCACATGTCCTTGCCTTCTTTACAGATGAGTCTGGGCAAGTTGCTTCCTCACTGTGATCCTCAGTTTCCACATTTGTAAACTGGAGATAATGGCCACTGCCTGAGCATCCTCAAATGGTCAAATGAGATCACTGACCTGAGTATGTTTGGAAAATTATACAGCCGTCTATACATACACCAGCTATGACTCAGGACCACCTTCTAGGATATGCGCTCTGCCAACTGCCTGCTCTATGTCAACATATTTAATCCTCCACATGCTCTCAAGGGACTCTCCTGCCTCTGGGAACTGTTTTCCAAAGCACAGGCCAAGGAATCCCAGTCCCCAAAGATGCCTACACAATCAAATAAGTGTGGGGAAAGATGAGTCGCTAGCTCCCTTATCGTGGTCAGCTCAATCCATTCAAGGCTCTGATAAGTCCTACAGCAAAGATAACAAGAAGTCTTTGTTTCCCGGAATTAACACTGTGACCGAAGAAACTGGTGTCTCATGGAACACACTTGGGAAACGTTGTTCATGCTTTTTTGGGAAATGTGGTCATGAGGCTGCATTAGCAAAACCCAGACTGATAAGATCTGGAGTGAGGGAGCAAAAACAGAGGTTTGCAATGAAACAACTTAGCAGTCAATGAATGCAGCAAGCAGACATTACTCAGTGGGAGAAGGAAGAAGACAGTAATTCTGCTGTCTGCCACTGTGCCCTGAACCTACAGTAAGAAGAGCAAAGGACTGTGGGACAGAGATGCTACCCTCTGCTCCCCAAGCTGGGAAGGGCACTTGACTGGAGCTGGAGCTGGCCGGGAAGGAGAGGGGCCCAGTCCTTACCCCAAGGACGGCTCTGCTATCTGCGCGTCGGCTGTCGGTGCTGAGGCTGGCCCACGTCTGCCCGGGCAGGGTCCTGGCATTCCTTTTGCTCCATGGACGCTGCCTCCCTACAAGGAAGCGAGAGCTGCCGTCAGCAGTCAGCAGGCACATGTGTGACTGTCGCAGTTACCTGCCGCACTGCCAGCACTTCCTGAGAGCCTGCTTGGTAGCAGGCCCTTGGCTGGGCTCTGGGGTGACAAAAGAGGTTTTTTTTTGAGACAAGAGTCACACTCTGTCACCCAGGCTGGAGTACAGTGGTGCGATCTCGGTTCACTGCAACTTCTGCCTCCCACATTCAAGTGAGTCTCCTGCCTCAGCCTCCCGAGTAGATGGGATTTCAGGCGCGCACCACCAAGTCTGGCTAATTTTTGTATTTTTAGTAGAGACAGGGTTTCCCCATGTTGGTCAGGCTGCTCTCGAACTCCCGATCTCCAGCGATCTGCCTGCCTTGGCCTCTCAAAGTATTGGGATTATAGGCATGAGCCACCGCATCTGGTGGACAAGAGAGGTTCTGACAGAGCACCACCCTCCAGAACCTGGTCGACTGAGGAGGTGCCAAGTCAGTAGCGATGGTCTGAGAGCTCAGAGCTCTGCTGCGGGGGAGCCAGGAGAAGCGCTAGACCCAGACTAGTCGGGTCAGGGAAGGCTTTCTGGAGGAGGAGTTGTCTGAGTTGACTCCTAAGAGTAGGAGCTGGAAAAAGAACATTCCAGGCAGGAGGAACAGCACACCTTTACCTGGAGGAGAGAAGACATGGCATCCGGAGAAGGCTTCAGGGCTCGACATGGCGAGATCCAGAGCCAGAGAGGGGAAGTGGCAAGAGATGAGCCACAGCCAGGTGGCTGGGTCAACCAGCCTCTGCCCAGACTCCAACTTAAACACCAAATCAACCCATCACCTCCGACAGTCAACCAGCCTCCAGAGAGCATCTACTCCGTATGCGCCAGACACTGTGCAGAACTGTGCATGGGGGTGGCAGGGTGGGGAAAGAGGTATGATTACTACAATACACGGGTTTCAGGGAGCCAGAAGCTAGGAGAGTGACCCAGCCACCAGAGAGAGCCAAAGGATCGGCAGGAGTTACCCAGGAAGGAGGAGGGCGGGGGCAGACAAAGACACCTGGACTGATCTAGGAGGGATGGCTGTTTTTCCAACATTTCTACCACTGGGTATTTATTTACTACACTGACTAAGTTCCAGGCACTGTGCTGGGAGGACAGACATGGAAGATGGTCTCCGCCATCATGGGAAGTAGGTCAACAACCCCGCAATTCCACATGGGGTGGTGGTGACTAGGCAGTAAAGCACCTACAGCTATATAGGCACAGAGGCCATCCAAGCCAACCTCTACCTCACTCTACCCTCCATGTCAAGGATGAGGCACCCACTGAGGCTGGGTGGTCTAATCACCTGCCCATGGCAGAGCCAGGTCCAGAACTTGGGCCCCTGGACTCCGTCACTGATTATTCTAGTCCCTCCTCTTCCAGAAAGCATACCCTGACCACCCCCTACATAACCACCCAGAGCTAATTCCTTCTTCCTCTGGGCTGCTTCTGTAATATTTCCATTAATATGGTGGCCATAGTGTATCAGAACTTATGTGTCTTCCGGTCTGCCTCTCCTCCCAGACTGCAGTTCTCAGGAGGACAGGGATGTTTTCCCAGCCATCCCAGGTCCAAGATGGGCACTTTCTAAAGAATGGCTGAATGAATGAATAAGTCAAGGCATGGAGAGACAGTGTGCTGGGCTCTAGAGCCCCACATCCATCCCACCTGAATCTCCAAGAGGTCTTGGCCCATCAGTGTGTGCCTCAGTTTCTCCATGTGAAAACCTGGAATCACCTCTACTCTAAGAGGAGGAAGTAAGGAACCACGCTGATTTCCTTCCAACTCCTACAGGCAAAGTCCAGGCCAAACCAGGCAGCAACCCAGGGTCTGGCCACTTCCCTGAGTTGACCCACAGGAGTGATCCCCAGGATCCCCTACAGTTCAGAAAGGCCACTCAGAGTTTGCAAAGGAAATGGTTTCCTGGTGGGTGTGCCTATGGGATGGAGAACCACCACATCTAGTCAAGTTCTAGGGGGAAGTCATGAACATTTCCTGCGCCCCCTGCTCTGTTTTTATTTTTTCATAATCCCAACTACTTATGAGACTGAGTTTTGGTCTTCTTGCCCAAGCTGGAGTACAATGGTGTGATCTCGGCTCACTGCAATCTCTGCCTCCTGGGTTCAAGCAATTCTCCTGACTCAGCCTCCCAAGTAGTTGGGATTATGGGCGTGCAGCACCATGCCTGGCTAATTTTTTGTATTTTTAGTAGAGACAGGGTTTCACCATGTTGGCCAGGCTGGTCTCAAACTCCTGACCTCGTGATCTGCCCACTTCAGCCTCCCAAAGTGCTGGGATTACAGGTGTGAGCCACCACGCCCGGCCCTGTGCCCCCTGTTCTGTACCCTATGGTCCCTAGAAGGCAGGGGGCATGAGACCCCATGCCAAAGCCCAAAGACCAGGAAAACAAGGAAGCAGAGACCAGTTACCCAGTCACTCATCCCTGGCATGTCCACAACAGCCTCCTCCAGCACAGGTCATCTGTCCTTGCCTCCCTTCATGAGCCAGAGGAAGACTTGACCTTCACGGAAGCTACATCAGTGAGACTGAGCAATCAGCACTGCCCAGTCTCTCTGAACAAACTCCCACTCCCCCATCCCCTCCACAGGAAGTATCAGCAACAGCTGATCTCCTCCCCCTTCTTACAGTCTGTCTGCCAGGTGGTCTGCCCCAAAGGGCAGAATACAGTTTGGCAGGGGTTAAGAGTACTACCAACAGAAGAGGTGGAAGAGACCCTTGGGAACTTCGGGCTCCCCCAGTTCCCCTCCTCTCACCAGGTGCTCTCCCTCCACACCTCATTCTCAAAAGGCTTCCTGAGGTAGGGCAGGGGAAAAGGAGTCAGTGGAAGTGTGGCTCACGCAGGAACCACCCACCCTTCCAGCCAACTCTCCATCAGGAGGCGGCTACCAGACAACCCCTGACCCATCTCTCCTTCCCAAAAAAGGCAACAATCACAACAGCTGAGAACCCCGGTTCACTCCAGTCCAGATCAAGGGGAAGAAGCAGTCAGCGAAAGCAGCAGAATCATCACGAACTCCATGACCCCAGCTATGCCCCTTCAGCCTGGGAGCTCAGTTTGCTGGGTGTCCAGCCCACCTAGGGCTGGACCAGGCCCGGACCTCACTTGATCTGGCCCTCGGGGCCACCTGAATGCACAGGACTGGAACACGGTCTGGGTTCTTAGATCCCGGACCGGTCTTCCCAGATATCCCATCCCAGACAGGCCCCAAGAGCCTAGCCGGGGATCCTGCCCCCAAGTCAGGGCACTGCCCCCATCGGGAACGAGAGGAAGGAGGGATCCAAGGGAAGAGGAGGGGACCAGGAACTCAGGAGAAGACAACTACGGGAATCTCTGGAAATGAAATGGCAAGGGGAGAGCCCAGAAGTGGAACCTCTAGGAAGGGGAGAGTGTGTGTGGAGGGGTGAGGATCTGGGGGGACCCAGGGGATGACAAGGGGACATGGGGGAGCCGTGGCGGAAACTCCTGGTTTCTGGAGCACAAGGAGGCATAGGGGTGCCTGGGAGGGGGCTCGCGCGCCGCGGAGCCGGCAAGAGGTGGTGCCCCGGAGACCCCGGGCACTGGGGAGCCCAGAGGTAGGCCGAATACCGCGGGAGGTCCCCAGGGGGCCGGCCCCGGGACAGAGCCCCAGATGCCCCCGGGCGCCCGGGACCGGGCAGCTGGCCGAAGGCGTGTGTAAGTGGGTTTCGAGAGGTGACAGCTCGCGCCCCTTTCCTCACTCCCTCCACTCACCTGGGCTCGCCGCGCACGGCCGCCCAGCAGGCAGCCCCAGGCCCCGGCCGCTCCGTCCCGCCGCCGGCCGCAGCGCTGCTCCGGCGCCTCCTTTTGTTTGTCCCTCACTGCACCACTCAGCCTCCTCCGCCCCGGAAGTGACGTCACCGCCAGGCGCGAACGCAGCGGCCAGGGCGTCGCCATCTTTATGAGGGGAACTCTAGCTGCGCCTTCACCCGCTCTCGCCCCCGCGCTACCGCCCTGTTGCTTCGGGGCGGAAGTAGCGGAGCCCGGGCTCGGCCCCCTTAAAGGGACAGGGACTGCTGCAACCTACCGGGTGTACTTGGGAACGAGAGGTGAAGCGGCCCAGGCGGGGGTGAGTAGCCGTGTCGGAGCGTCACTGCCCGGAGGTCAGGTGCCGAGGCTGGGAGGGCCTGCTAACGGTTCCGAGCTTGATTGTGCTAGAGTGCTTAATGAGTTTGACGCTACTAAGGATAACGGAGTGGCTGCTCAGAATGATTGAGCCGCCCGCGGGAATCAACTGCGCGTGCTGCTCGCCGATCCTCGCTCGGACACTGGAGCTGGTCCTCTCTGCACCCAAATCCCCCTCCCACGACCGCGCCGGTGGAGATGGCACCCGAGACAACAGGGAATTCTGGGCAGATCTGGGGTTGGAACTGGGTCCCCAGGCTCCAGCTCTGCAGCTCCATGAATCTCCCTGGGTCCTCGAAAATTCCCTGGCTGATAACAGTAACGGCAACCAAATTAAAAAATAATCCATACAATGGAATACTGTGCAGGCATTAAGACGAAAAATGTTGAATATGCACTAATATAGGGCAACTTCTAAGATACCTTAGGTTAGAAAAGGAAGCAACAGAAAAAACAGCGTTGATGGGTGCTGTCCATCTTTGCGTAGAAGGACGCGTGAGGGTGGGGGTATCTGCGGGTGTGCGCGCCAGCTGTCTGATAAGATGCATAAGAAGTTGTTAATTGCGGTTGTCTCCAACAGGAGAACTGGGATCCTGGGTACCTGGGCCAGGGCGAGAAATTTACTACCCTGTGCAGAGGTAGATAATTAAAAATAAGATGATGAAGATAGTCACGGCTCCCATCCATCACGTGTTAAGCCAATGCCTGGTTTCACTTCTCCTGTTGGGAGGTCTTATTTTTCCCTTTTAATAGAAAAGAAAAGAACCTTAGAGAGGTTAGGAAACTTAGCAATATCATAGCCAGGGCCGGGCGCGGTGGCTCACGCCTGTAATCCCAGCACTTTGGGAGGCCGAGGCGGGCCGATCACGAGGTCAGGAGATCAAGACCATCCTGGCTAACACGGTGAAACCTCGTCTCTACTAAAAATATTTTAAAAATTAGCCAGGCGTAGTGGCGAGCGCCTGTAGTCCCAGCTACTCAGGAGGCTGAGGCAGGAGAATGGCGTGAACCCAGGAGGCAGAGCTTGCAGTGAGCGAGATCGCACCACTGCACTCCAGCCTGGGCGACAGAGGGAGACTCCGTCTCAAAAAAAAAAAAAAAAAAAAAAAAAAATCACAGCCAGCAAGTGGAGAAGCTGGAATTTGAACCCTGGACGATTTACACTGATGACCATGATCTAGCTTCCCCCCTCCACACTGAGAAGCTTTTTCTGTTGTCAGTCACGCAACACTCGTCTTGGGGCCTGGCACACAACAGATGTCCAGTAACTATTTATTGACATGATGTGTAGTGTGAAAAGCAAACGTCGAAGGTCAGAGCCCAGGCTTAAAGTCCAGGGCTCGGGCACCTCTTTCCAACCTGTGGACTGTGGGCCTGCCAGGTATTCCATGGGCCTCCATGTCCCTGCCTGTAAAACGAACAACCAGAACCACAGTTGTAGACAGTGAATGTTCCCACGTATTACACTTTGTACTTTACACGCAGATAAGCCTCATTTTACAGATAAGTAAGTGAGGCACAGAGAGATTAAGAAAGTTGCCCGAAGGGGGCTCCTACAGGTCTCCCTCCCTCCCTAGGAAGGCTGTTTGGGCTCCTAGGCCTCTCCCTTAGCTTCCCAGGATCATCCGGGCTAATGCTTTGGGGACCTACGATGTGCTGAGTGAGCTGCCAGAGGCTGAGGATCTGGCAGAGAACAGGTCAAGCACATAGTTCCTGTCCTTGGAGTTAAGTGCCCCGGTGCTGAGTACCTTGAGGGCAGACATGTGGCTTAACCTGGGTGGAGTCAGAAAGGGCTTCTCCAAGGAAGGGGCTTTCAATGTGACTGGAAACTGTAGAATGTCCAGAAGGAGAAATGATGGGGCTGGAGACTCCGGGAGAGATGTGCTCCTACCCTGGACTTGGCCTTGGGGTCCACTAAGAAACTGAGGGTGACCGACAGGATTGGAGAATATGCAAGTTAGACCCATTTAGTCTGGCTTCAGCAGGAATCTTTCCTCCCGGAGAATGCCTCCATTAGGTGCCAACCACCAGAACTCCACACTAACCTTTCCGAGCTCCAAAGAGTAGGGCGCCTGATTTTATAATCCAGGTGGGGGCGATAAAGGAATGCTGAAGCATTCGCAGCCATGAGGCAGTCACTGTAACTCCTGCCAGAAGAGACCTGGGGCCACATCCCAGTCCTGGATGGCACTGCCAGTTCCCTGCATAATTCCTTTTTTTCTTTTTTTTTTTGAGATGGAGTCTCGCTCTGTCGCCCAGGCTGGAGTGCAGTGGTGTGATCTCGGCTCACTGCAAGCTCCGCCTCCCGAAGCTTCACACCATTCTCCTGCCTCAGCCTCCCCAGTAGCTGGGACTACAGGTACCCACCACCACGCCTGGTTAATTTTTTGTATTTTTAGTAGAGAGGGGGTTTCACCGTGTTAGCCAGGATGGTCTCGATCTCCTGACCTCGTGATCCGCCCACCTCGACCTCCCAAAGTGCTGGGATTACAGGCATGAGCCACTGTGCCCGGCCTCCCTGCGTAATTTCTAAAATGCTCATCCTATGACCTCATTCCCCAGCTCGCAGCTGGGGGCCTCCTGGTGCTTTTCTGGGACTTCAAGTAAGTCATTTCCCCTCTCTGAGCCTCAGTTTGCCCACCTGTAAAGCTGATGCCACCTCCTCCGAGGCTCCTGCGAGGCTGTCTGTCTGCCTGTCTCTTGTGGGTTCCTTCAATGTACTCACGCCCTCAGGAGTGAGATTGTGGTTTTGGAATCTGAGTCCTGTGCCAGAGGGAATAACTGGTGGGATACCTACTGTTTGTCTCACTCAGGTCTTCCACCAACCCCT